CAGCCTTATCAGTCAGCTGCCTGGGGTATAGGGGAGATGCCAGAGGCCCTTCCTCCAGACACAAACCCAAGCGGCAGGGACAGGTGCCAGCTGGTGCTGAAGCCGGGACAGGCAGGTCCTGCAAGCAGGGACAAGAGCTGCAAGCAACCATCTCCTGCCCTGCCAGCACTGGTGGCACTGCTCCGACCCACTCCCATTGCTGGCTGCTAGACCTTTGCTCCTCCTCACTTGGGGGTGGTGAGCACCTCCTCCCACATTTTTTGTCCTAGATGACAGCGTCTTCCTGGCCAACGAGGCACAGCGGCAGGAGTGTGTCCTGAACCAGGACGGCAGCATCTACTGGGGCACCGAGAGCACAATCCAGGTGCAGCCCTGGGACTTCAGCCAGGTGAGCCAGATTCCGGGACCACCCCGCCCCTCGGCCCCCAGGCAGAGGACAGGGGGTCTCCCACATAGCACATGGGACGGGGAGATCTCTGTCTTTCCCACAGGCTGCACAGAGCTGCCAGGGCCTGGGGGCAAAGACACCGACACGCCGTTCTTGGAGTACGGGCTCTGACCCGTCAGTGGGGGGCCGGGCCAAGCAGCCTGGCGGTGGGTCCACACGCCGCCCCACGGGGGGTCCTGCTCTCATTTCAGTTCGAGGAGGACATTGTTGACATCTGCTTCAAGCTGCTGGACGTGGGCGCGCACTGGCAGCAGGACACAGACCGCACCAAGCGCGGTGACCCCGTGCATGTCTGTCGCCTGGTCGGGGCCATGGTAAGGAGAGCGGGGTGGGGTGGGTCACACTTCCCTCATGGGCGAGACCCAGAGATGGGGAAAGGCCCAGAATCCGTGCGTGCCCGATTTGCTGCCATGGCACAAGCCAAGAAGCACGTCTGCCCACCAACCCCATTTCCAGCCCTGCCCTGCCCCTGGCCCTCCTTTGCCCCGGGCTCCCACACCACCCGCACTGCTGGGGCAGGCAGCATCCCACGCCACAAGCACCGGCACCGCAGCCTGCCAGGAGCTGCCACCTCCCCTTCACAGCTCCCACCCCAGCGCTGCGCAAAGAGGACAGTAGCAGCAGCAGCCGGGCAAGACACCGCGCTGGGGGCCAAGCGGTGGTCACTGCTCAACTCTCCCATCTCCTTTTCCCGGGAAGCTGAACTGCAACAAGCTCAGAAGGGTCCTGACCAGAGGCTGGACTGCTGAACGCGGTGACGGGACACCCCCCACCCAGTGGCTGGGCAGCGCCCCCATCCTCCGGCAGTGGGCAGCAGAACGGTGCCAGCCCGTGCGGTACGGGCAGTGCTGGGTGTTTGCGGCCGTCACGTGCTCAGGTACCGCAGCTGCTGTCAGTCCGAGAGCCACCGGCTTGTGGCTAGAGCAGGCCCCAGCAGCGCCTCTGCGCCATCCCCGGCTCCTAAACCAGCTCAGGCCCTTCTCTCAGCCTCCTGCAAATGGCCATGCAGCGCCTCAGCAACCGGGTCCGCAGCCACGCACCCCTGGCCTGTATCCACCCGGGCTCGGCCCACGATGCCCAGAGTCCCGGCTGCGGCAGGGAGAGGGGCGCAGATCCTCCCCCGCCTTTTCCAAAGGAACGATGCTTCTTGCCGACACGGTGCCCACCCAGAGGAAGCCGCTCCATGGCCAGAGGGGAGGGCAGGTGACTTGCCCCTCACGGCTCTTCCTCTTCTCTCTGCACAGTGCTGCGGTGCCTGGGAATTCCCACCCGTGTCGTCACCAGCTTCACGTGGGCCCACAACACGGGTGGCCAGCTAAGTGTGGACGAGTACTACAGCGAGAGCGGGGACAGGGTTGCGTACAACGGCAAGGCCAGCATCTGGTGAGGAAGCCCAGCTCGCGCTCGAGGGTGCAGGGGCAGCAGCACTGGGTCAGCCCACAGCCCTGCCCTGAGGCGCTGGTGCCCCAGACCTAGGCCCAGGGGTGAATCCAGCCTGCCTCCCACTCCCCGTCCCCTGGGGTGATGCAGCAGGAAGGCACAATGGCGTGGCCAAGGGGGACCCTGAGCCTCAGCAGAGCCCCCCAGTGCAAGCGGGTGCCCTCATCTCCTGCAGGAGCTTCCATACCTGGAACGAGTGCTGGATGGCACGGCCGGACCTGTCCCCAGGCTACGACGGGTGGCAGGTTTTGGACGCCACCCCCCAGGAGAAGAGCGGAGGTAAGACCCCAAAGAGGCTCGGGGACAGTGGAAAAAAAGGGCAGCTGCCGGCCCCCTCCCCTGACCACAGCTAACCCACACGCTTCTCCCCACAGGCCCATCCAGCTGTGGGCCGGCCCCGGTGCGTGCCATTAGGGACGGCATCCTGGAGCTGGACCCCGACGTCGCGCCCCTCTTTGCGGCCCTGAATGCAGAGCACCGTGTCTGGGTGCAGCGGCCTGATCGCAGGTTCCAGCGGGCAGCCAGCGGTGGCCGCTACTTGGGCAACAGCATCAGCACCAAGGCGATGAGCTGTGATCGCTGCCAGGACCTCACGCACCTCTACAAGTTTCCCGAAGGTACGGCTGGGGTTGGGGGACCCTGGCAGCCATCTCCTGCCTGAGGGACCTGCAACAGGGTCTTGATGGGCTGCCCACCTGCCCTCGAGGATTCAGGAGAGGAGACAGAGACAGTGGTGTCCGCTGGTCTGGGAGACGTGTTGTATTGCACCTGCCCAGTGACACCACTGAGCAGAAAACGGTGTTTTTGTAACGTGGCAGGGTCTCCTCAGGCAAAAGAGGTGCTTGAGAGAGTCCACAAGAAGACAAGCAAACTGGAGGGAGCCAGCAGCAGAGAGACAGATCTTAGCACCCTTCTTCCTGCTATCAAAGACCTGGCTCTTCTGCTCTTCGTCTGTATCCAGTCCAAGAGCTCCGTGCTGCTGGGACAGGACATCCAGCTAGCCGTGACAGTGGCTAACCGGAGCGGTGGGGAGAGAGCCGTCTACCTGGTGCTGGGGGGCCAAACTTTGCAGTACGATGGCACCCCCATTACACAGCTCTGGAAGGAAGAGCTTCAGTTCACTCTCAGACATAATGAAGGTAAGGATGGTTCCATATGTGTGCAGGCAGCACAGCTCCAGCCCCTGCCCTGTGGCAAGGATAAAAAGCACATTTAGCACCAGCACATGCTGGACTGGTAACTTCCAGCAGACTCCAGGCTGAGGCCAGACCTCAGCACTGACTCGTGCCTGTATTTCATGACTCTGTTCCAGAGAAGACCCTAGCTGCCCAGGTGCCCTACTTGCAGTACAAGAGTGCGCTGGGAGACGGCCACCTGATGCTGAGCGCTCTGCTAAAGGACGTGGACACCCTGAGTGTGCACTTTGCACAGGAAGAAATCAGCATCTGCAAGCCCCAGCTTGCCATCAAGGTTTGAACTAAAGCAGCCGTTGCTTGCCTACTGCAGCAGGCGCCAGCGCTGGGAGCATGCTCTCTTCCCCCCCAGCACTACCCTAAGATGGGCCCGGGGGAAGGGAGCAGGCAGGGCTGACCTGCGCCCAGCTACCCCATCCATGCCCTGCTCACCTGCCTGCAAGAGCGCGGAAGACAATGAGCAGTGGGAAGTGCAGGGGCTGCAAGAGGAGCCCAAACGGAGGACTTGCCAGTCCAGGGGGCAGCAATCTCAGGCACCAGAGCCCATGGAAGCTTCTCGTGCAACTTCTCAGTCCCAGCTCATTGTCTCCTCTCCGCAGCTCCCCCAGAGTGTGATGCAGTACCAGCCAACCATGGCAGAGATCAGCCTCCAGAACCCCCTGCCTGAGCCCCTGGAGCAGTGTGTGCTATCAGTGACAGGGAGAGGACTCATCTACAGAGAAAGGACATACAGGTAAGGGCACCCTGCCCCTGCCAAGCACAGTAGCCTGCTTTCAAAGCTTTGGAATAGGCCCGAAACAGGGTAAAGGCCACCATGCTGCAGAGGTGACACCTACCATCACTGGCACCACCGGGGTGGGCCCCATCGCCTCCCGTCCGCTAGCCAGAGGCGATGCCACGGTTCCACTCCCATTGGACCAAAGAGAAAATGAGAATGAGAAGCTGCAGGACAACCCCAGCTGTGGTGTTTGTGGAACGGCCACAGCCACAGGCCCCAGCCAGTGAGAGGAGGCAGGAGCCCAAGGATGGAAGCAAGGGGCCAAGGACAGGGACTAGACAGACATATCAGCATGAGAAGGTGGCTCCAGGCAGCTGAGCGAAGCTGTGCAAGCTGCTGCAGTGTCATCAGGAGCTGCCTCTCCAGCTGCCAGAATAGCAGGAGCTGAGCCAAGCCCTGCTGACAGGGACTTCTCCTCCATGTGCAGCAGTGAGGACAGTCCCACCCCCCTCCTTGGAGCAGCCCCCCAAATTCTCTGCCAGGAGATGCCAAGCCTTGCAGAACAGCTGCACCATCTGAATAACCCCCTCTTGCCTTTCAGGTGCGACACTGTGCAGCCCAGCAGCAGCCTGCATGTGCACATCCCCTTCACTCCCACACAGGCAGGGACCAAGAGGCTAACTGTGCACCTCAGCTGCACCCAGATCCAGGACATCAAAGGCTACAGAAGTGTCAACATTGTGGCTGCCCAACCCCCAGCTTAATGCCGATGATGCTGCCCTCAGCTCCTTTCAGGCAAGCCGGCAAGAGCCCCCACTGCTCACACTTTCCAATAAAGCCACATTTGAGCTGAGTGACTGAACTGCTGTGTGACTGCAATGGCCTGTATGACGCCCCATTCGCAAGCCCATACCTCTAGGCCCATCCCCAGGACACCTCAACTACTAAGGAAAAAGGCACTACCCTGAAATGTGAAGGGGAATGTGCTGCATCCCTTAGAGCTGCACTCAGCTCCCATGGAGCCAGGGAGCTGCTGACCCAGCAAACAGCATTTTCCACTGTATCCTCAGGGAGGCGGGTGGCACTGCTGCTCACATCTGGGAACGAGCTGGCTCAGCCAAAGCTGGCAGGACAAACCCACAAAGGATGCCAGGGCCCTTCCCCTCCGCACACAAAGCCGTCTCCACACAAGAGGCAACCGCATGAACCCAGTTATGTTTTATTGCTCTTTCTGCCTTCACGGCTAGCCCGAACATCAAGCAGGGACGAGACCCATTCACAGCATCCACATACAACTCCACGTTGTCCCGAGTCTAAGCTTTGCTTTGGCAGCTGCTAGAGAACGTCAGCGAGCCACCTTTGCTTTTGCAAAGTTCTTCGCAGTTGGAAAAGCTCCTCACTCCAAGCGCCACTCTCATCCCACTCCCTTTGCTGCAGGGAATGGCCAGATCCACCTCAGACCCTGACCACAGCATGTAGGGACACAGGCATCAGAGTTCACCCTGTGTGAAGTCCTTTATTTTGTTCATGTTGTGATCTACTGCCCCAGTCAGAAACAGCAGCCAGCCCTCCTCCGATGGGGGGCATGCATGGCTTGCCCTGCAGGTGAAGGAGAAAGCATCAGGTATGGCTTAGGGGGAGCCCTAGGTAATAGACCATTGCATGCCACGCAGCCATCATGACACGTGACTGGTGCAGTTCCCTCAAGCCCTCAGGACTGGACAGAGCCACATCCTACCTTCTCCACAACCACGGATTCATCTTTGAATACCCCCAGACACACACACAGCTCTGCCCCACCACCCAGCTGTCACCTCTCCCACTCCCCCACGCTACTTGGTGATACTGGGGTTGTTCCAAAGACAGATACTTGCAACCCAAAAGTGCCCAGACAAGTCCCATCTTCCAGGACTGACTTGCCCATTTTCTAGACGTGGTCAACCATCAGGAGAGGCACCCATACACCCTGCTCTTGAGAGGGCCCAAAAATTCACTCACCTTGCAATTTCTAGCATCTTCTTCAGGACAGAAGCAAGTTTAGCTGCCTAAGGAGAGACCGAAAGGAAAGCAACCGAGTCAGCCCAGCCTGCGTCTGACCCGCCTGGCTTCAGGGGAAGGCGCATGCTACCTCGCTCCAGGCTCCAGCACAATTACAGTAGGTTTAGTTCAGGGGTGTCAAAAATACAGCCCACGAGACAGAGCCCTATCATCTGGCCCCTAGTGCTGCCCCTCAAGAGCTGACCCACATGCTGATTGTGGTGCCGGCTCCAGCCAGTACAGGATGTGCACTGGGTCCAGCCCACAGGGTGGCCCTGCACCACTGGTCTGGCCCATGGGGCCAGGTGAATTTGACACCCTGGTTTAGTTCACTAAAAGGCTTTAAATGCTACTTTGCATCTTTCTAATCTACTTGTCTCCAGCTGTATATAGACCAGAACAACTCACAAGTAAATGAACAATCTAGTGAAAGAAGTGCATCATTTGCTATTTTAATGTATGAAAGTAGAAACCTGCTTTGCAAACACAGAGCTATAGAACAGCTTAAGTGACTGCATCCAGCTCACCCTCCTGCTTAGCACCCTAACGAGAATCAACTTTTCTTTAGAAAAATAAAGAATACCGATGCAGAACAGATCAGATCTAGGTGCCGGCTGGCTCATTCAGATCAATTCCCTTGCTGCCACAGAAGGGTACTCCTCTCAGCAGACAGCTTTGGTCCAGCTGCCGCAGGCACCACACACAGACATCTCTGAGCTGTACAGCTGAGATAAGGACCAGCAGGGCCTTTTGACCCCCACTCCAGATAGGCCATGGTCCTTTGAGGCAAGAACCAACACAGTTTTCCTCAGGTTGCCAAGGGGGCCCCACACCAACCAGCTCTCCTCGGCTAAGGGAGTTACTCTGTAGACCTGACAGATGCCGGCCCCCCCTTGGACAAGCTCTGCTCTCCACGGGAGCCAGGCCAGGGCCTCTATAAAGGAAGGCTGAAGAACAGCAGGACTTACATTGAGGCGCACAGCCAGCTGGTTCACGGGTGGATACATGCTCAGCGCCAGCTCGTCCACACTACGGCAGAACAGAAAGAGCAGTCACTACAGGAGGGGGACCCCCTGGCAGTGCCACCACCAAGCACACCGCACAAGGTGACACCAGCCAACTACTGAATCGCCTCCGAGAGCAAACTGGTGCTGCCAGAACCCATGCTGAACCTGCCTGAACACACACTCCCTTGCCTGGCAGCCAGGGCATCACTCCGGTTCCCCAGGCTGCCTCCTTGGAGCTCTCTCCTGCCCAGCCAGGATGACTCTTGCAGACCATCCCACAGGTCCCGGGTCAAATGTCCCTACTCCCATCACCAGCTCAGAAGGCAACACAACCCTTGCGAAGATGCTGCTTCTAGCACAGCACCCAGCAAGACACAATGAAAGGGAAGGGAGGATTCACCTAGGGCTGATCTCGTTGGCAATGTCTGCAAGGTCGTCCAGCTGTGCGACATGTTCCGGTGTGTCTGCTTTGCCATGAGCCTTCACTGCACCCAAGACCTTCTTCAGGCAGGCTTTGGAGGCCTTCATCAGCCCCATGCAGGGGTTGAGCAGCTTCCGGTCAGCCTCGGACCAGTAGATATCCCTATTGCCTCGAGAACCCAGCTCCTCGTCCTCCATGACGTCCCCATAGGGGTCACCTCCTCCAACCTGAGCCTGAGGACACAGGCACGTTGGGATTCTGGAACCCACCATCTGCCCCAGACACGATAAGCAATCCCCAGCACACACCCAAGCTTCCCTCGGGATCCCCCAGCTCCCAGGTTTCCAAGGCCATTACTGAGAAGGCTTCTCTGTAGGAGACTGATATGGAAGTTAGCCCCTCCCTCAGGCAAATCCAGGACACCAAATGCCAAGAGCCTGCTGGTAAATCTGATATCTTTTACTAGGCCAACTATTTTATTACTTAATAAAAGATATTGGATTCACCCAAAGAACCTTGCCCAGCTATGTCCTTAGACCAGCAGGGCTACAACCAACACCCCGGAAACAAGAGCCTGCGGGAACACCCCTCTTCCCACCAGCAAACAACCCCTCAGGAACAAGCCAGGGACATGAGTTGCAGCAGCCCTATATCAAGCTAGAATCTGAACACACCACAGGGGCCCCTGCATGTGGCTGAGCATCCGGTCCAAGTCAAAACCAAAACACAGAAACCGACTGGATTGCTGCCCGGGACAAACTCATTGCCTGCTGTCACCGCAGCACTACTGCAAAGCCCAGAGCTGTCGGCTGTCTGTAGAGAGGAGTAAGTCCCTCTTACCTGCTCCATCTCCTTCAGGGCATCCTTGACCACATCCAGATACGTGGCCACAACTGACACGACGGCGGCCTGATTATCTGCACGCAGAGGCCAAAGGGAGGTGAGAGGGCCCAGGGCTGTGCAGACACCTGCCATCTCCCCAGCATGCACCGCACTCCCCCACCTCCCTGCAGTCATTCATAGAGTTGCAGCGTCACGGCAGCAGGTGACTCGGCTCCCAGGCCTGGAGAGGCTCATGCGGCAGGGGCTGGTCTCCTAGGAGCCACCTGCTCTACTCCGTCTCGGGGGCTACCAGGGCCAGTCCTGCTGCGAGCAGAGCTCTGTGCTACTTGCAGTGACACCACCTACCTCGCGGCAGGCTGGACACCTGCTCGCATGCCTCCCACACGCCACCAGTTGATATGAGCTGCTCCTGAGACAAACTGAAACGGAGAAAGAAAATCCCTCAGGGCCACGGACCCATCATGACAGAGGACGGAACAGCACCTGGCAGCCGGCTGCCAGAGTGACCTGGCCGCACAGACCCCCACCTCCGTCACGCGATGTCCAGCCCCAGGCTCCCACCCTGCTCCGCGCACATCTCCGCTCCGCCTTCCCGGGGACGCCTGGTGACGGCGCACAAGGCCTCCGCTCTTCACTGCAGCTGCAACCCGCCGCAAGGTCCAGCTGGGGTGGGGCGGGGCAGGGCAGGGCTGGGCCAGTGTTACCTCTGCAGAGCGGTGCTAACAATCACGTCTGTGAGCTGGATCATTCCCTCCACCACCTCGGCAGTGGCATCACGCACCATCTTGCGGAGAGTCGTTCCTGCGAGAGGTTTAGGAGGAAAAGGCTGAAGGCTGGGACACCACACCAAGCACGGGGCCGCTCTGCAAGGCCCCTTCTGCCCCACGGCCCAAGCCTGCCCCCACGAGCGCCCTCCCGGCTCCTTCAGGATAGTGCGAGCTGCCGCCTCACCTCGGTCCTTGGGCAGCCCATGGTAGGCTGCAGCGGCAGCCAGGACGGCATCCCGCACGCCGTCGCACAGCTTCTCGCAGTCCTGCAGTCGGGCGAGGGCGGAGGGTGAAGGAGGCGAGGGGCAGGCGGGGGGTGGCGGGGCGGGGGCGCGGGCCGGCCCCCGGGCAGCAGCAAGGGC